ATTTATACGGTCGCTCACCAGTGTGGGTCCGTTCGTGCACGTGGCAAGTTGCTTTCTGCGCGAACCGTTTCTCGCAGTACTGGCACTGGAACGGTTTCTCGCCCGTGTGACAACGCATGTGTGCCTCAAGAGCGCTCAAATACGTGAATGACTTGCCACAGTAACACGTATGGTTCGGTCGGTGCTGCGACGACAGCCGGTCCTGCAGCTCAAGATCGTGCAGCGACAAGTGGCTATGAGCCACGGCCGAGCCTGACGCAGCAACGGAGATGAACCCGGCGACTCCTGGCGACTGCTGCTGCTGCTGCTGCAGGAGCAGAGACTCGCGCACGTGCACATTGTGGTGCTGCCGAAGGCTGGTGGCGTGCGCGAAGTTCTTCGGACAGAACTTGCACTGGTACGGTCGCTCACCGGTGTGAGTGCGGCGATGGGAATGCAGAGCCGACGGCTGGATAAACCGCTTCTGGCACACGTCGCATTGGTACCGACGTTCACCCGTATGCGACCGTTCGTGCATGATAAGTGAAGTTTGCTGAGAGAACGACTTTGTACAGTGTTTACAGTGGAACGGCCGCTCACCCGTATGCACCCGTTCGTGCGCCAGCATCGGATACCTGAACGCGAACAACTTTCCGCAATATTGGCACTCCCATCGTTTCTCTTTCTTTACACCGGTTCCAGCTGTGCCCCCTCCGCGACGACCTCCTCGCCCTAAAGTGCCGCCGTAGCCCCCCGTCCGGCTGTCGGTCGACACCTCGTCGCTAATAATGCTGGCGATGGTGGTCGAACTGGACACACTGAAATTCGGTGATTCTAAGACGGCAGCGACGGTAGATGCGTTCATTTCGCCGCCCTGCTCTTGCGAAAAGCTGTGCCTCTTGCGATGGGTGTACAGCGACGTGCGATGGGCGAAAGACTTGCCGCACTGCTCACACTGAAATGCCTTCAGGTGCGTATGAGATATCTCGTGGGTCTTCAAGCTGCCGATTGTGGCAAATCGCTTGTGGCAGTCATCACATTCATACGGCTTTACTCCTGTATGCTGGCGTTCATGGATTTTCATGTTACCCTAAAACAATGGGCTGCATTCAATAAAGTACAGAGCAAAACAAGTCAACATGCATTCCATGCAGCATGCTTATTCCAACTCAGCCTGACACTGTGATAAATAACAAGCATACACTGATTTTCACAGTTCAGTAATCTTACTGTTTTGAGGTAGCTGCTTCGAAAAGCATTTTCAGTAGTCACGGTCTTCCGCAAAACTCAAACTCCATAGGCCAGATTTCAAAACACAGCAACATCTTATATAGTCGTCACGCAATTTTAACTCTACCTTTGACCATCTTTTAAGTGACCTTGTGAACAGAATCTACTACTAGCAAGCAGGAAAAAACAATAAACTAAATAACAGCAAAACTACGTAAAAATTAGGTCGTCAGTAATACAAGAAAGCAGCACATAATCCGCAAGTGTTAAATACCATAAAACAAGTATCGTAAATAATAAATCGCAAACTAAAACGAGGCTAGAAAACTCATCTGTCAGTTCTAGGATATAGTACAAGTATTGCGTATAGCATAGTTTAAACACTATATACACGAAACTATACTATATAATGTAGCTTGTAATACCCAAGACAAGCAGTGAATCCATACATACACTCTTAAAATACCATTTACTTATAAACAACGCTAAAGATACTGTGGACAGTCCGGTGGCTGACCAATACCGACGTTTGGCCAGTGTCTCGCGGGCCTTCTTCAAGGAAAATTGGTGGTAAAGTTTCGTTAATGTCGTTAGCCGTCCGCAGCAGTCAATCGTTCTGGAGCCAGAAGGCCTTAGGCCTTCACGAAACTTCTTCACCAACCTACCTTGAAGAAGGCCCGTAAGACATGCATCGAAACATCGGTACTGGTCAGTTATCAGACTGACCACAGTATCCTTCGCGCAGTGTAAAACCGTGTTTTACGCTATTTTCTCAGTATGAAAACTAACGCACGAAAGAATTACTTTAGACACACTAAACACTATTAAATGATAGGTTCCCTACTCGCACGATTAATGGTACGATAAACATACTGATTCTATCGTTCAACGCCTAATTTAGTTATAACGCCATATGTATGGTAGCATCTTCAGGCTATAAAGCATTACTGACATATGAGTCATAGAGAGGGTTTATCCAGAAACAGCCTATAGAAAATATATACTGGCAAACGTCATGCCAAATGAAACGTAACACCCTAGTTAAAAGATCCACTTAAATAACAACGCAACTTCTGTGAAGCCCCTCACCATTTTACATTTATATCGAACACGTACTACAGGTCACTGCTTAAGATGAATTGTTATGTAGAATACGAATAATTATAGAAAATCACTGTATTATTCCCTACATAAGTTCATACTGCTTGCCTGACCAGGGTTGACTGACGGACCAGCAGATGGATTAATAGACTAACTAACCAGATTAATGCACAAACTTTCTTCTATACCTCCATAGAATATTGCATAGCTTAATCTGAGTTTATTACTACCTTCAATTCTGTTTATCGTTTTCAACCTTTCATTGAGTACAAGACTTCCTTGTCTGAGATTTCAAGCCATACTTTGCATTATGTTAGACTTAGCATTATGTTAGAATATAAGATATCCGTCAAATTTTCTTACGTTCTTGTTTAACCTCGAAATACCGTAATAAAATTTAACCTAATGCATCTATACGTGCTTCAGAATCATTACCAACGTTAAAAGCCAATACCCAAAGTTTAGAAAAACAATGGTAATCGGGTTTTAAATTCATTCGTAATGAATGAATGAACGAAACGAAAGAATGCATAAATGAATGGATGAATTAATTAATGAACTGTGAAAGAATGAGCGCACAGCAAATTTCGCAATATGCATAGTTCAAAAGATCAGTTTCTAATTAGCCAGAGCATCAAGTCTTTGACTGCAAACTGAAGGTTCACTGTTAACGAAGAGAACTGTGAAATATAGCAAATGACAATAATCCATGACCAGTCACATCTATCAAGTTGCTTAACAGATGCTTAGCAGGGTTCACTTCCTCAATGAACATCAGATATAAATGAAACTGTTATATGTCGCAAAAATAAATAATTAATAAAGTAGGTAGAGTACTAAATGTGCTAATATCTTATCATTCAAGCAGACTGTCTAGGAAAGAATAATTATGGACAACATAGGATAGCTCATTGGTCAATTAAAGCCTGGTCTCCAGGTAAAGCCCAGAATGACAGCCCTACTTATCA